TACTATTAAAGTTTATCTTCGGGAAGATTTAGGATTTTTATGTATAGAAGGTTGATTATCAAAACAGAATATATCCACTTCCAAGAATTTATAAAAATTTATATATTTTTCAGTATAACCAACGAAAGAATGATGTTTTGCCATCAAGTTCCATTTAACATTATTTCTTACTTTCTTAGATAATATACCATCGAGGTAATGGGATACAATACCCTTCACTGGAATGAAAAACCAATCGTGGGACACTATACTTGGGAATCTTTATAGTTAGGTCAATCTTAAGATTCTTACATTTGAAGAACAAACATGTTCTAACCTTATTCCATAATACATGCTTTCTAAAAGTACAATTCTTATCTGGTTTATTTAGTTGTATAACTTTGTATTTTTTTTAATAGAAACAAGAATCGTACATGATGAAAACAAAAGTATGTGTAAAAGGGATATGAAAGTGGATGTTACCCAAAAATGGATGTTGGAAAATCCATTCCATACCCTTCACTTGCATTAACAAATACATTTTCTTTTCAAGATCCAATATAGTTGAGTCGGATGCACATGTTGTCAAAAAGGATCTTAGGTTTGGCTTATTTATTTATTTTCTTATTTATTTTTAATTTCTTTATAGGTAAATTGACATTTTCATTATTAAAATGATGTTTGTGTGAAGTAAGTACGAACAAAGAGCGTTTTTTTTTTGCAACCATCTAAAGTTTGACAAATGACCCTTTTACACTTCTTTTTTAGGGCATTTTATTTTCATTTTTTGTAAAGGGATTGCACATTAATACTAATTATTCTAACTTCTTGACAGCTCAATCTGAAGTAACCTCATATGAATTCGACATTCAAAAAGTTTTTTAACTTGCCACCAAAGGAATTTAGCATCGGTGATTTTGTCATGCTCTCTCATAAGAGAATTAGCCCTTTAAGTATACTCGGACGGTTGGATTTGATTACGGCCTGCACATTTACACAAACTATTTACTTATTATAGTTTCCAATTTCATTTTTGAAGAGTAAACTCTTCCTATATTCAAGAAATCTTGAGTTTTATGTCAACTTATTGCGACACAAAACAAGGTTTTCATTGCAACTGTTTTTTTATTATTTTATTTGTTCTTTTAGTGTATGATACAAAATTGGATGAGTTAGACCAATGTTATGAACTATCGTTGTTGGGTTTTATACTAATTGTAACCTTATTGTAACATCCGGATTTTTTACCAGGTATCTTGTAAATTTAATTTTGTGGTATTGTGAGGGGGACTCGGGGAGTTGGAGCTCAGACTCGCCGAGTAGGGACGCGGATTTGGACAATAGAGCGCGCCTGGACTCGGCGAGTCTGCGCTGTGTAATGAAACCCTAAATTTCCGGGTTTGAGGCCTATTTAAAGGGCCTTATGGCTGCCATTTGTGCTCACCCAACCCTCAGTGAGAGACCCTTGTGTTCTTGAGCGATTTGTGAAGAGAAAGGAGCATTTCTTGACCTTGTGTGTGTTATTTAGCAAGAAGAAGGAGACTCTAGGCAAGAGGAAGCAAAGGAGGTTGCTATTTCGTGGATTTGGGGCTTAGATCATCACTCTAGAGGTATGATCTCGGACTATTTTCTGTTTGGTGAAGCATTATGCAATTTAGGGCTTATGATGGTCATTTATGGGATGATTTGGTGCCCATTGGTTCCCTCCTTGAGTTGAGGTTATGGATATGGACCCATAGAGGTCCAGAGAGTCTCACTCATCAAGCTTTATGTATGACAATGGAGTCCATGACCTTGTGTTGTAGTAAATGAGTCAAAAACATCATATATGGTCATATAGAGGTTGTATGTGCATCAAGATTGTAACTTTACGTGCTAAATGAGCTTGGAGGGACTGGATCTATGGATTAATGGACTGGATCTGACCTTTAGAGCAAGATTGAGTCAGTGCATGGCACGGACTCGCCGAGTCCGAAGAACAGACTTGGCGAGTAGCATGAATGTTGCCCGACCACACAGTGAGTGGCCTCGCCGAGTTGGGGAGGGTGGACTCAGTGAGTCAAGGGGGAGTCAGAATGGACTGGTGGATTGAGTCAAACTGGACTCGCCGAGTTGTTTTGAGACTCTGCGAGTTGAGTCGTGGTGGCTCCACAACTCATGCCAGGTGGAACTCGTCGAGTTGAGTGAATGCTCGACGTGTCAAGGGAGGATTCCAGGGAAATTGGTGTATACGCCCAGACTCGCCGAGTCGCCTTGGTACTCGCCGAGTCCGGTTAGAGTTGACCGTTGACCGTTGACCAGAGTTGACCAGTGTTGACTCTTTATTGATAGTCAACCTTAGAGATATAAAGTGTTAATTAGAAGCATATAATGTTATAGGAGGATTAGAGCTCGGAGGATCGAGCACGAGGGATTTCCAGGATTCGTGAGATACCGAGATACGCGAGGTGAGTCTTCTCACTATACTTTACCTTGAGTAGGTAACCAGAGTTATGTGATAGAGTATTTGTATGCTATGTATATTATGTGTTGTACTGCATTATTTCTATGTGATTTATGTGGTGCATGACTATCAGAGCTAGAACCTGAGGGTTCACAGAGCTTGGGTGCACGGACCCACAGAGTTATAGCCTAGAGTGGCTAATATGTGTTGTATGTGGTATTTTGGGGAACTCACTAAGCCTTGTGCTTACAGTGTTGATGTTATTTGTTTCAGGTACTAGTGATGACCGCGGGAAGGCGCCGGCTTGATCCGTATACACACACGTTCGGAGCTTGATATTATGATCTTGGGATTTTGTACTGTTTTGTTGGATAATTAAAATGGTTGTTTTTATGAATATCGATGGAATTATGTTTTATAAAAATTGAAAAATTTGTTTGAAATTTTCGGTGTTACACTTATACTCCGAATTTTTTTTCATACAACGAAATTATGTTGTTTTTCCTTTTGTTTAATCCTAAAAAGAATTTAAATGAAATAGAAAAATGACAGATAATTCAACTAAGAAGACAGCATATGACATGTTAGATTCTAAAGAACATTTGACAGTTTTCATATAGGTCGCACTTGTGTTCTCCAGGTTAAAGTTTTTTGCCGACTCAAGAAAAATGAACATTTTCCTCTTGATTTAAATTGACTTATATTTGGGGATATGTATAAATTGATACTAATACCCTTAATAAATATTATGATAAACACATGACATACAAACACATTGGTATTGGCGTAACTTAAGTTAGAAAAACAAATTTACTTATAGGATTGTTGAAAAATCATTTATCTTATTTGCTAATGTCCAATGATCATCAACACCAGTCTTTTGTAACTTCATTACCTTAGAAAATTGAACAATAACATCAGGTGAGATAGGAGTGTAAACATCATGTATGTCTGGAACTAAGAAAATCAATGGTTGCAATAAAAAAAATTCAAAAGAGCTTGTAGGAAATTTTCTTTTTGAAAGGTTATTTAAAAAAAACAACAACTTGGTGCAATGAGTCAAATGTAATTTCTACAAGTGTTTGAGGATCCTCCTACACCAATCATATTATTATTATTATTATTATTATTATTATTATTATTATTATTACAAATCAATAATAAAACATTAACTCGAAGAAAATATAAAAAATTGTAATTTTTTAGAAAAAAACATGAACTTACTGTAAAATCATTAACAAATCGACTGAGAGCACTACATGCTCCAAGTGTAGCACCAATTTGTATTGCATTCATTAATACATCAACAAGAAAGAAAAAAGACAACTAACATTGGTTCCCGAACCTAAGAAAAGTATAAATTAAAAATATATAGTCTTGAAAGTACTCATATATGACAAAGAAAGTCGTCCACCTAATAAAACAAAAAACGTTGTTTACAAAGAGATCCTTCATCGATTATAGATATTCAAGCATTTCATTGTTTTTTTCAATGTTACCAATAACGCTAATTCTATTTCTGTTACTTTATTTTTAATTATTATGCTAACTTTTTATACTTTTATATGTTCTACCGCGTTTTACGCATGTCATATTCTAGTTAAGATAAGATAAAATAGTTTAACTTTTTGGAGACAGTTTCAAGGCTTTGATTTATATTTAGATGTCGTTTATAATGAATCAAACATACTGAATGCTGATAGATTTAGATGTAACCTCTAAATAAAACCATTCGGTTACCAAACAATATCAAGTTGTATGATTCACGAATTTGCACTACCATTCAAGATATAAAAAGAGTGCTATATCAATAACTAATATAATATCGAGCCATGATGAGCCACGACTTATTTCTTATAAATATAAAAGGAAATTGAATAATCTAACCTATATAAATGAGTTTTCAGTTTTTGAAAAATAATAACTTTCTCTTGAACCCTCATTACAAACTACTATTCACATCTCAAACTACTTTTCTATTTTTTTTTTTTTTTTTTTTTCAAATGCTCATTTCTAGTTTGATTTTCAAATTCCAGAGTTATTCTTTTAGCTTTTTTTCCAATCTCCATTTGAAAGAAATATTCTCATGTTGAAAGTGTTTAATATCACTGATATTCAATAAAATGTCTAGTTTTATATATTGATATTCTATATAACTCGTTTACTATTGTTTAACTTTTTGTAATTCGAAATCATTACAATTTTGGTCCCTATGTTTTGTTGATTTTTACAATGTGGTCCTTCAAAAAGTAAAGTTAATCTTTTTCGTCCTAAAAACTCTTTTGTTACGCTTCCAGTTAACTTTGACTAAATACATATAAAATATAAAATAACTACCATGCCCTTAATTTCATTTTATCATCCCACACAAAAGGCCCAACAAATTGATATATATCATTTTAGACCAACAATATCAGATGTTGTCTTTTCTTTTTGAGTTCGACAGTTTAAATCTCACCTGAGTGGACATCGTTAGAATTAAAAGCAGTTTAAAAGTAGATTAAATTTGCCATTCTTTAAGCAAAAAAAATGTTTCAAGGTTAAAGAAAACACAAGATTTTACCAAAAACAAATAACATAAACAAAATTTCGAACGTTTGACATAATAAAAAACAGAAAATTAACTAAAACATGTGTGCGTTTTCAACCATAAATTCTTAAATCCAAGTTTTCCTCGTAAAAATCCATATAAAACAATTAAGAACCAATAATTTTTTTTCTTTACGCAAAAAAAAAAAAGAAGCTTCCTATAAACACTTATCTCACCTTTATATGCAAAAATACGATGCACTTATGATTTAAAAAACCCACAAAATTATCTACAAAAGCTCCCATTCAGAATCATGAGAATCTTGAACTTGTGATTTTGTTGCATTTTCATCTGTTTTTCGGCTGAATTCTTTTTCAATATCTCCACACCAAATTGCAAGCTGCTTATACTCCTTTGTTATCTTATTTCTTGACATAAAAGCATCTTTTATGATTTTCTGATGTATACAACAAAATTGGTAAAATTTTAAATTAGAAAATTTAGTCATTAATTAATCAAGAATTTGAAAAAAAGATCATATATTTATTCTTTAGGGAAAGAAAAACATACCTTGTAAGATTTGCTTTTTCCTGACCCATAGGAGAAGGAAAAGACTTTTTCGCCCTCGACAATAACACAACTATCAACTAGTTGTTCTTTATCACTCAAATCGATAGTGTCCATGTTAAGCTCTTCAAAGTCAACCATGGAGTTATTTACTTCATGAGTAGTTTCTAGATTTATCAAGACAAAAAAATTAGTGGTTAAAAAGACAAAAAAAATAGTGTTTTGAAGAAGGCAAGATATACATATACTAACCATTAGAAAGGGCAAAATCGGAAGAAGAAGACATTGTGGAATCATTATTGTGTGTGGAAGATTCACAAGATGAGACATCATATGAAGATGCAGAGAAATAATCACCTGTTGATGAATGATATGAATTTTCCTTTTCCTCTTTATTCTCATTATTTGAATCACATTCAGATAATTCATCATTAACTAATGTTTCTTCCCCTTCAATCTTTTTCTCAATTTCCATATTCAAATTCATAATATTTTCAATACCCCAATCTGCATCTTCAAACAAAGAATCATCACTCTCTGAAGTTTTACTATAAACTATTTCTTCCTCTTCTTGAAAAGATATCTTGTCTTCATTCTCAAAATTAGGGTTAGTATCTTGTTCTTCAATAGGGATCAAAGAAGAATCAATGGTGTTTTCTTTAATGGATGAAATTGAATTTGTGTAGGTTTGAGTTTTTGGAGGAAGAATAAGGTCTTGCATAACTCCATTATAGAACTTCTTCATGCTCTCTCCAACTGTTTGCATATGGTTTTCAACGTATTTGACTGTATCCTGTAAATAATTTAAAGATTAAATGAAAAGATAATTGAAGAAATATGTTTTTCTTTTCATGTTATTTAAGAAACATAAACATACATTGTTCATAAATTCATCAACCTCTTGATATGCAGCTTCAAATCTCTGATACATAATGCTAACCCAAGTTTGACTTATGTGTTTCTTGTCCATTGAGAAAGTTGTGCTGTATTAAAGCCAAATCCCAATATAATTAACAAGATTATAAGAATTTTCATGTAAAAACCACGATTAACGTTCTACTTTTAGCTAATCAAATAGTGTCACTCAACAAGCATAATTCTTCTAGTCAATTCCATATAAAGAGATTATCTTCGTAATAAACAAAGTATCTTAAGTTTTTCACTATCAGCAGTCAACAAAAAGCACATGGAGTAACTGGAGTTCATCAACTTAGGGAAACTTATTTGTTCAATCCGATCACTGACTTTTCATGCTTCAAAAGCAACAGATACTGAACACAAACAAACCAGAGATTTTTTTTATTATGCTAAAAACGCAAAAGCAACCAGGAAATTCCCCTCAAAATTGGGTTCGAAAACGTTGCTTTCTTCGAAAATACGAAAACAAGTATTGAGACTAAACAATCAAGAAACCCTACCGGAAAAAGCAGAGAAGAAGAAGACGAAGTAGTGGAAACAGTAACCGGAGAAGTGAACTGAAGGCTGAAGCCGCCGGTGGAAGGTGGTGATCGTCGGGGTAAGAAGCTCTCTGTTGTAAGCCCTCCGCGGCAACTGGGTTTGAGACGACTTCTGTGAGAATGTATATATATACGAATAATTTAATTGCAATTTGATCCCTACATAAATAATTAATTATCGTATGGACACCTTTCTTACGAATAATAAGCATATTGGGTGGTTGTACTTTATAAGGAAAGGTTGTGATAATTTTTACAAAATTATTTTTAAGAGATATACATTACCAAAAAATAAGTAACTTTTAAGAAATGTTACAAACTCTCTTTGTACTTTATATAAGGAAACGTTCTAATGATGTTTATAAAGTTATTATAAAACCAATCAAACTTTTAGAGATATACATTACCAAAAGCGTTTACTTTTGAACACGGTTACAAAATACATTATGTAACTTTTGGAAAGTATCACAAACTCTACTTGTATGAATATTTCGTAGGCTTTCAATGAGATTTATCATGGGCCCGAGAATGATCAATTTTAGAATTACACTTATTTTAGTGGGAAATCTTCAAAAAAATCCCAAATTTTTAGGAAAAGTTACACTTTTATCCCAACATTTTTTTTGAACAAAAAAACCCAGGAAACCGGGTAAATTGAACATTTCGGCCCTATTTTACCGGTTACCTTCATTTAGCCGGTTAAATTGGCTTACGTGGCAAGGATTTGTTTACGTGGGTTTAATCGATCTCATTTACACACATAAATACACAGTACAACTTACCTCTCTCATTTCACTTCCCCCCCCCCCCCCCCCCCCTCAGTAAACTAGGGTTTTTTACCCCCGTGCAGTTGAAATCATGGATGACATCCATGATTTTGATACAATAGATGTGGAGCTGGATGCGTACTTCAAAAAGAAACAAGCTTCCCGATGCAAAGACGAATTTCTCAATATTCTATGTAAAGAAGACGATTACGAGGCAGTAGATGATGCTCAAACTGAAAATGATGCTCAAACTGGAAACAATGCTCAAACTGGAATCACTAAAGAAGAATCAGATGAAGATTATCTGGAAGGTAGTAACGAGGAAGGTAGTGATGAGGAATTTGAGTATTCCACCCACAATCCAAAGGTGAAATGGAACAAAATGAGATCAATGCTTGGTGAAAGGTATGAATCCCCACATGAACTGAAATTGTGTTTGACCAACTATGATGTTAGTAAGGGTTTTCAAATCCGTTTCAAAAAATGTGATAGTGTTAGACTAGTGGCAATATGTGGAAGTGATCCAGAGAAGTGTCCATTTGTGGTTAGGGCTTCTTGGATGACTACTGAAAGGTCTTTCCAAGTCAAAAAGATGATAGACATTCATAAATGTGTTAGGAATTTTAACAATTCAAGGCTTATGGATCCTACCTGGTTAGCTAGGAAATTTGTGAAGGAGTTGATTAGGAAACCTAATTTAAAATGCAAAGAGATGCAGGTAACTATACAAAGTAAATTTCATTGCAAAATTTCATGGTCAAAGTGTTATAGATCAAGGATGAGGGCACTATCGTTAATTCATGGGAATTTGAGTGACCACTACGCAAGAGTTTGGGATTATGGGCATGAGCTACTGAGGTCCAATCCAAACAGCATAGTTAGGATTACAGTTACTGTAAACCCTGATAATACCACAACATTTCATAGATTCTACATTTGCTTTAAAGCAATAAGAGAGGGGTGGAAAAGGGCATGTCGTAGGGTAATAGGATTGGATGGTTCTTTTTTGAAGGGACAGTGTAAGGGTGAATTGTTAACTGCAATAGGTGGGGATGCCAATAATCAGGTATATCTTATAGCTTGGGCAGTTGTTGATGTAGAGAACAAGAACAACTGGAAATGGTTCCTGGATTTGGTTAATGATGATCTTGGATTGCAGGGTGGAAAGGGTGTGTGTGTAATCAGTGACCAACACAAGGTAAAGTAACTATCTCTTTATTTTTCATTATTTACAATAATGTATGGTGTTGCTAATTAACTTTTTTTTTCATGTTATAGGGTCTTGTTGAAGCTAGTAAGGATATTCTACCATATGTTGAGCACAGGCAATGTGCAAGGCATATCTATGCCAATTTCAGAAAAGTTTATAGTGGAGTGCAGTTCAGAAACATGTTTTGGGCAGCTGCAAAATCTACCACAGAAGGAGATTTCAAGTTTAATATGGAAAGGATTAGGGCAATAAGTTTTGCTGCTTATGATCATCTCATGGCAAGGGAACCAACTTCATGGTGCAGGGCTTATTTCTCTACTGGCTTAGTTTATGAGGCTGTAGAGAATGAGATTGTTGAGTGTTTCACTGCAATCATCGTAGACGCAAGAAAGAAACCTTTGCTGACTATGCTTGAAGAGATTAGGCTTTACATGATGGAAAGGGCTTTCAATATGAAACAAGAAGCTGAAAACTTGGTTGGTGAAGTTTGTCCTTCTGCGGTAACAAAGATGGAAGAATTTGGAGAAGACATTAAGTAAGTATTCTCAATTGTTTTGTTTTTACATGTTCTATCTTATGTGTTTGCATCTTATGTTCTATCTTATATGTTTGCAGAAGTTGGCATGCAGTTCCAAGTGGAGTGAATGAATATGAAGTAAGGAATGGGTTTCAGAACTATGGAGTTAACTTGAAGGAAAAAATATGTGCTTGTAGATTATGAGAACTTTCAGGAATACCTTGTGTGCATGCACAAGTGGCAATATTGTACACCAATCAAGATCCAGTTAACTTTATAAGTAGTTAGTTCAGCAAGAATAATTACAAGGCAACTTATGATCAGAATATACACCCAGTTAATGGAAGTATCTTATGGGAAGAAACAAGTTACACTAAGCCCTTTCCACCCATTGAAAGGAGGATACCAGGAAGGCCTAGTGTTAAAAGAAGAAGACATGTTTCAGAAAATCAAGACAATTACTCTCAAGTGTCAAGCAAGGGTAGAACTGTCCAGTGTAAAAATTGTCTACAAAGGGGACACAATAAAACATCATGCAAGAATCCTATAGTGGCTCTAGAACCTCAACCAAAGAAAAAAATGGACAGGCCTAAGTTGGAACCTGATTTGGTTAATTGGTCAGGAACTAAAACAGGATCTAGAGGTGGAGGAAGGGCTGGTGGAAGAGTTGGTGGAGGAAGGAGTAGAGGTGGTGGTAAGGGATCTAGTAGAAGAGGCAATAGAGGTGGTGGTAGGGGATTTAGTGAAGGAGTCCAAACAAAATATGGGGAGGGTACTTCTGAGTTTCCTAAATGTGAGCCTGAAGTTGTTGTCATTCCAAATGTTGAGAGTGAAAATGATGCAAGTCCAGATTTTCACAATCATATAAGCTTAACAATTGACAACCTAAGGAAATCTTTATACACTACAGAAGAGATCATGGACTGTCTTGGACTTAGTGAAGCAGAATTACAACAAATTGATGGTCTTGGATTGAGTGAAGCAGAAGTACAAAAAATTGAAGATGTGGATGTTGCTATGTCACAAGTATGCTTTCTTTCTCATTATTCATTTTGTGATGTTAAATCTTGCTAACTGGTCTTTTTGTTATGCTTGTTACAGGATGTTGGAATTGCTAGCCAAATAATAGTTGAAGAACTCCCTACAAATCAAGTACTTGGAGATGAGGAAAGGATGAATGGGGAGGATGGCATAGATGAGCCAGGGATGGGTGAGGTAATGATGAATGAGGAAAGGATGGATGGAGAGAGAGAAATACCTATCACACAACAATTGAATCAAGTCATAAGGACGACTACAAAGAGGAGCAAAGTGAATCAAGTCAGGAGGAGGAAGCCTTCGGAAAGGATAACAGAGATCCAGTTGCAAAAGGTGGTAGTTGTCAAGAATGGAAAGGGGATGAGTTCATCCAACCCCCTTAGTCTAGATTAGGGTGTTTCTAATCCCTACTTTTATTAAGAACATGTATAAAACTTTTGGGTTTGGGCAAATCTTGATAGCCCCTTTTGTTGATAGCCCTTTTTGTTGATAGCCCCTTTTGTTGATAGCCCATTTTGTTTACATCCATATAAACTATAGGCTTTGGGCCCCTTGATCATGTTTTTGGGCATTTACACAACTTGCCATACAACTTGTTTGGCTTTGGTTAATATTACTACATGTTCTATGATTAACAATGTTTATGTTCCATTTGGTTATATTGATTCCTTGTTTTATAGATTCCAGTTATGCATACGTTACTTGTGCTTACAATGTCTGCTTATATGGATACTAGTTATGCATGATTCCGGTCATGCATGATTCCAGTCCTCTTATGTTAAACTTGTTCTGGATTTGGTTAATATTACTACATGTTCTATTTTATTTTCCCTTTCTTTTAATTGCCTCCATAATCCTCTTATGTTAAAATTGATGTAAGGGTAAAATTGTCATTTCAGACTCTAAACCTTCAAAATCTTCCCATGAATGTGGCCATCCATTCTTGAAAGCCATACCTGTCAAGGTTGAAAGCCATATCTAGTTATGCATGATTCCGGTCATGCATGATTCCAGTCATGCATGATTCCGGTCATGCATGATTGACTCCATTATGTATTGATCCGTTTGTGTATTAAGTCCATTATTAACTTATTAAAGTCATACTTTGATTCCATTCATTGATTACAATCAACACATTTAAAGTTCATACATAAACTAGATACTTCATTCATAATCATATGAGTAACAAGATACTACATTCATAGTAAACTAACAACCCTTAGTCATAACCAAAACAAACACAACCAAAATACATTAAAACAACTTTGTATCCTACCAATCCATCAACATAACAAACAAAAACACAAAAGAAACTACAGAGACATAAAGCAATGATTTCCATCTTCCTCCTTCCACTGCTTGGTGTGCAATTGGTTGTTGTGCCATTGGTTGTTCCACAACGTCTCCAAAAAGTTCCCAGTTGGTTGTTCTTGCCCAAACTCCCCAAATATTCGATGGTTGTCCAAATTGACATTGTTGTGTAATACTAATAACAGATCTGCATACCACTGGCTTGGTAGAGGAGGATCCACCCAACGAAAGTACTTGCAATCTTTGAGTCCATTCTGGTAATTTGGGCATCCTATAAACCTTCTTCCCAGGTTTAATGGAGTCAATGAAGTCCATCTTCCTACAGGATCACCACAGTAGCACCTCTTTCTGAGACGATTCATTGAAGATGAAGAAGACTAAGAAGATATTTGTCTTGGTCCTCCACTGCTCCTGCTTCAATCATTGTCTGCTAGGGCACGAGTGAAGTTTTCCACTATATTTAGAGTTTAATACAAGGCCATTAAATGACTCACCAACCACCTCAGCAAGTCCTTGCCACATAAGCCAATTTAACCGGCTAAATGAAGGTCACCGGTAAAATAGGACCGAAATGTTCAATTTAACCGGTTTCCTGGGTTTTTTTTTGTTAAAAAAAATGTTGGGACAAAAGTGTAACTTTTCCCAAAAATTTGGAACTTTTTTGAAGATTTCCCTTATTTTAGTAATGTAAAAAACAACTATATGGTTCAAAATAAAATTGTATTGCATAAAAATTTCGATCAGTTTATGGAGTTATAAACATTGAATAACAATAACAATAGCGTAGTTTTAACGTGTTTAAACGGTTCGCTTACTTTCAATCAGTTTGGGCACTCCTTCAAATTTAGCCAAGTTTTAACGTGTTTAAACGGTTTGCCTACTTTCAATGAGATTTACCATGGGTCCGAGAATGATGAACTTTAGAATTAAAATTATTTTAGTAATGTGAAAAAGCAACTATATAGTTCAAAATAAAATTTTAATGCATAAAAGTTTCATTAGTTCATGGAGTTATAAACATTGAATAACAATAACAATAAACTATTCTAAATTCATGTAGGTTGTTTATAACAAAATTATAAATTTCATCAAACTCACAACATTTTACCCTCATATCGCAAAACTTTGAACATATTTGATCAAGATTACGACTTCGACAACCTTGGTGTACACGACCGTTGTTTGTTGCCATGTGTACCACCGACCTGATTGTTCTTTGCGTACTGGTAGGTCTTACATAAAGTGATTGTACATCTCATATGAGCTATTATCTTCCTATCAACGTAAACAATGTTTCTAAATGACATCCATATAAAATCACCACATGTACACCTTCACACACTTCATTATGTAATGTCATAAGTACTTGTTTCGGTGTGTTACATCAGATTTGGGACCGAATCTATCAAAATCCACTTGTACTTGTATAAAAACAATATTTAATTATAAAACTCGGAAAACAAACAACCCAATTTTTTGTGTTATACCACACAAAAGTGGTCATTTTTATACTACCAAAAAGAGTAATAAAATTTCATATTTTCCCAGATAAATATTGTAATATTATGATATTATTCAATCTTCGAATATTCAATCACATTAGTAGACTTATGCATATGAAAGAGAAAGAAAACGAATGCACAAATCTGAAAAAAGGTTAATACGATATTAAAAATAAATAATTCCTCTTTATACTTCCATTTATGTTAATTATACAAAAGAAAAATAAATCAATTCCTTGTTTTGTGACATCTAAACCACAAAATTACAAAACACATCAATCTATATCCAATTATAAACCCTAACATCACTCCCAAATTACTCCATTTTTGCGTCTCCTTTATGTGCTGCTGCTCCAAGAATCCATTTCCATACATTCTACACTTCCCCCCATCCATTTCCACACACATACTCATCCCTTCTTCACCTCCATACTCGTTTATCATAAAACATTCAAATGGGTACTTGAATAAACTCATATAATGCATAAAAATCCAGTATTTTGGGATGCTATCTTTCGCTATGAAGTACCCAGAAAACAGAAAGAAACATCCCATCAATCCAGAAATCACAGACGTACCCATGATGAAATTCGGCACCAGTGCACTGAAACAAGCTGTGAACGAATTCGACATCAAGATCACCATCCATACGATCAATGCAAAGTAGAAGAAACTGTTGATTTCAGTGCGTAATCCGACTAGCCAGTAGACTGGGATTGTGTAAAGAATACCGATCATTAGAAGAAACGGAAGGAAGATGAGAGTGTTTGAGATTACATACGATGAAACTCTATATGCTCCTCTTGATGTTTCCCTCATCAAGATTCGTCGTTCTTGTAAGAAAATCGGTAATCCTTCTGTCGATGAAGAAAGGAGGAATGTAAGACTGAATGCGAAGAACCCTAATCGAGCTTGTAACGCGAGTTTCCCTTTATTCGTTGACATATTTACGAAGATGGTTCCGAGGATCAAGCCAGAAAGAACAGCTTGGATGATTCTTGTAAGGAATAACTGTTTGGTTCTGAATATGTTCTTGAAGAATCTTTCACTAAGAATCGTTATTTCTTCTAAATGAGAATTCGGGTATGGAAATTCGCCATCTTTTTCAGTTTTTTCACGGATCTTGACTCGTTCTATCGGTGTTTTTGGTGTGTCGATGATCAAGGTGGTGGCGACATCAATGGCGAATTCAAGAACATTGACACGAGGTGGGATGAAATGACCGGAGACTTTGAGTCTATGTTCTAGCGACTTTAACGATCCGTTATGAAGAACGAATCCATTCGAGAGCAAAATGAGTCGATCAAGAAGCTCCAAGATTCTGAATCCGGGTTGGTGGATCGTTAACACGATTGTTTTATCTCTACTAATCGCCATTGATTTAAGAAGAGAAACAACACCAAAAGCTGAATTAGAATCGAGACCTGAAGTTGGTTCATCGATAAGAATAACCGAAGGATCATGAACTAACTCAACCCCGATTGAAACACGCCTCCTTTCACCACCCGAGATCCCATGGTTCGACCCCTCACCGATTCTTGAACTCGATACACGATCCAAACCGAGTTCGTTTATCAAAATCTTGACTCGATCAACCGCTTCTTTTCTACCACACCTTAGCCTTAAAAAAGCACTATACATGAGCGTTTCTTCAACTGTTAAAGATGGGAATAAAGCATCGTCTTGAGTGACATATCCAGCCAGTCTTCGGAACCGTTTTGTATCAATAGGAAGGTTATTGATCAAAATTTGGCCGGAAACCTGGCCGGAGGGGATATTTCCGGCGAGAATATCTAACAGAGTTGTCTTTCCGGCACCACTGGGTCCGGCGATGGCGGTGAGGACGCCTGGATGAGCTTCACATGTCACATCATTCAAGATAAACTTCGGAGGTTTCTTGAAGTAGTTTTGAAGAGAACCCCACTTGGATTCGTCATAAAGATTGGAACTTTTGTATGCAAGATTCTTGGTTTCTATCTTGTATGAAGTTTTCCGGCCATTTCCAGCCACCACCGGTGACTTTACCGGCAGCTCCATTTTGTGAATGTTTGAAAGAGGGAATGGTGGAAAGACGGGTTATTTGGGAGAGATGCAAAGAGAAAAGAAAGAGGAGATGAGCTAACACAACTAACTTATTATGTTGTATTGTTGTGTGTCTTTCCATGCAAAGTATGGTTGACTATTTTGCCTTTGAAATTAATTAAATTTGGTGAGGGTAGGGTGGAAATTTGGTCAATTATTATATAGGAAAAAGGAGACACACAGTGAGGGTGTATGTGTGTGTGGTTTTACTAGGTGAACTGCTGGTTGACCATTTGTGGGAGTGTTTGGTTTGGTTTGGTTGCTATCACCCGATATTTCCTTCTTGGGACCAAAGGCAAAATAGGCAATACCATAGATTTGAACTTTATTCCAATAACTTAGTAGCTTTTATTTAATACAAGTCCAATTTTATCTCATTGTTATACATACAAATATAAGCTCTTTGAATTCAACACAAATGTTGGTGTCAAGTTCTGATCTACATTTGAATCGAGTTAGAAGGAGGCTTATTTCATCGAATATAGATTTTTTAAACTATTCAAACTGTGAAATCCGACTTGTTTTATTAGAATAGTTATAACAGATGCTTCCGAGCTATCAAGCTCTTGAATCGAGCTCAAACTAACTCATTAAACTATCAAATTGAATTCGAACGGACTCATTGAACTATAGAATCGAGTTCAAATTAATTTAAGAGCATCCACATAGGTGCAAGTTTAACACCTTACACAAGAATGCCACAATGATTGTTAGATTAAAATATTATAAAACACGTACAGTCTTTTAAATATAGAAATATGAAGTCCTAAGTGACTATCAATACATGTTTAACTGTATTGCAATTTTTTTTGAAAGACCCGATATGGATAATTTAATCTAGCACTAGTATCTCGTCAATCAAACTCAAACTTGGGTTAGCTTGGTTGCGACCACAGGTGGGTTCTATAGCTTTTTTTCTTTGTTATATTATATTTTCACTAACTTTATCAAATTTTATCAAACAAAATGTTATTAACTTAAATCATCTCCAATCATTTGATCTATTCTAAAGTCTTTTTTTTTTTTTTCAAAATTAACTAGTTTATCTTCATCTTTGTGAAATATTTTATGGGTTGATCGATGATATAAAATGACAACCAATAACACACAATTTGCTCTTATGATCACTTGTTTTTTAATGTGTTGAATTGGTCAATAGATGTTTTTTCCCTCAACAACCTCTATTTTGAATAAACCTACCCTTTTTAGGTTTGACAATATATAAAAGCCAAAATGAATCTGTGTATTGATCACAAGTAGATCGCCACCATCACCCTCCTCAAGAAAGCCTTAAATGGTAAGAGCATTTGGTCAATTATTCATCATTTAGTGCTTGCGTGCGCCTGTCATTTGTTGATAGAAAAAAAAATGACTTTCAATAAAAGAAAACCTTTAAAAATCAATGGTCCGACTGAGGCTTCCTCTTAAAATGAAGACATTGCTATAGAGAACACTCTTTGTTAAATGTTTGTTTCTTTCCTTTTCTTTATGGTCGGTCATTTTTGTTGTTTATGTTCCTTATATGATATATTGTTCTACTATCCTTTATTTTGTTTTCTACGTACTCTTTAGGTTGTTGGAGTTCTCGTGGCCTATCGCACATGTCTTTTCTTTCCATAGGTAGAGAGTTGATTGTATTAATTTTTTTCTACTAACAAAATTTTAATGAAAGTATAGCCTTCCTTTATCTGAAAAAACTGTCGTTTCCGTAACTAAAAAAATATGCAATTAAAGTTTGTATTCCCGTTTTTTATTTAAAAACATCTATTTAGTATTTACAATAATTATGATAAAGTTAACTATTTTAAAGTGTTTTTTTTGTAATTTATTAACTTACCCTAGAAGCTTATTGATGATATACATACACCATACATACACACTTTAATGCATATTCTTTTTGCAAGAAACATACATATGTTATTTTCCTTTTCTACACAACTAATATAAACAAAAACACAATCAAATTAGAAACCCAGAGTTATATAAACAAAAACACAATCAAATTAGAAACCCAAAGTTATCTTCATTATAACAACACCTTTGGCTTTATCATACAAGTAATGAAGACATTTATTAAGTTAATTGGTTTTGACTTTTGACATACATACCACAAAGCATGCAACTAAACTTACGTTACACGACCAACATTGCCTTACCAATTTCCAAAGCTTTCCCATGACCCAATAATTTCTCCACAATCGCCAATGAAAATTCCAAAGATGTCCTTGGCCCTCTGCGCGTTACAACTTTACCATCAACCACCACTCTACTTTCCACTTCACTTTTGTCCGACAGTTTCTCACACATTGTTGGGAAAGCAGTTGCTTTCTTTCCCTAGTTACATCAAATTAACCCATTCAGGGGTATTTTAGTCTTTTTAACCCAAATAAGAAAACTTACCTTGAGTAATCCATGGGGCTCAAGGACAAGAGCTAGGGAAGCACAAATTGCTCCTTAGTATATGCCCAACTCCCTCTAATTCTTTAGCAAATTTACAAGTGCTTCACTGTTTGCAAATGCTTGGGCCCCACCAAGTCCACCCTAAAGTAAGTTCAAAATTGTAACACCTGATTCCCGGTACACATTTAATTTAAAGCATTTATGTATTTTCTCTGGGACTCGACGAGTTGGAGGCCCAACTCGTTGACTAGGGTCGTGATCCGCGGGCATTTTAAGTGACCTACTCGATAAGTCGGGAGACTGACTCGGTGAGTAGGTGCTGTTTGAGGGAAACCCTACATCTGAGGGTTTGCACCATATTTAAACGACTTATTGCAACTTCCATTGTCCCTTATACTCCCATAACACCTATTATCGAAACCCTAGCCGCTTTGAGTGATCTAAGGACAATTTTGGTGCTTTTGGGTGGTTGTGAAGCTTGGAAGGAAGGGAGAAGCTTGGGAATTTGAGTTGGGGCTTGTAGATCCATAGATCTTATTCCATCTTCAGCTCAATCAAGGTAAATGCCCCCTGTTTTGGTCTTTCTTTTGGTTGTTCATCTTTAGGGCTTAGATTTTGGGTGCATTTAGGGCTTTCTAAGCCATTTCCAGACTTGTGAAGTGATTCATGGAGTTCTACTTTCAGATCTGAGTTATTGGAGGGGTCTCATGGCATAAAGGTGCCAACTCTATAGCCATGAGAGCCCCATGCACATTGTAGAGCACCTTTTATGGATTTTTGAGCTAAAAACCCCATGCATGTACACCAAGTTTGGAACTTTACGTATAAAATGGACATTAGGAGGTCAGATCTATGGTTTTGGTGTGTTAAGACCCATTTAAATTGATTGCATAGTAATGGTCAAGGATGGACTTGCCGAGTTGTTCTTGAGACTCAGCGAGTCGAGGTGTAATGACCACCAAATCCATTCTGCGAACGGACCAGTTGTTAGGGAGGAAAGTCCCGTAGATGTTTAGACGTGACAAAGGACCTGAGAATCCTGGGACTCAACGAGTGTATGAACAGACTCGATGAGTCCAAGGCAATCTCCCAACCTCTGAAGATAGACTCGACAAGTTGTTCTACAACTCGACGAGTCATAGTCTAGACATGTTCTTATGAGGGAGATGAACTCGCCGAGTTGAAGGAAGAACTCGATGAATCAGATGAAGGTAGTCACGATAGTTTGAAGGAAGAAGAGCCCGTCGAGTTCTTTCTAGACTCAACGAGCAGAGTCGAGATTGTATCGGATTAGTGGAGTGTGGACTCGGCGAGTTGGCGAGCCAACTGGGCGAATCAGGTCAACTGGATGTTGACTTTGACCAAGGTTGACTTTGTCTGGTTATGGTATTGACCCTGGTTAGGGTCATATGTTCTATTTGATGACTTGAGGATTGTCGTGTAGGGATTGAGGAGTCGAAGGGAGCCGACCTTCACGCCGAGGGCAGTTCAGACGCTACACGACATCGAGGTGAGTTACCTTCCAGTAGGTGTGGGTCTACGGCCACAATGCCGACCCACCAACATGGATATTTAGTAGGTAATTATCTTTGTGATAATTATATTGGTTTGGTTACGTGACTTGGTCATAAGATATGCTTGCGTAAAATGAACGATGTGATAGTGGTAGTGGCAGGGAATAGTCTTTCCCTGACATAGGTCGTTAGGACCAACGGGTAGGTCAATACCTGATATGTTTGATTGTATGTTTATACTTGGCTATTGTATGCTAGTGTTAAGGGTGAAATAGTCCCCAGTTACAGGTTGAAAGATACCGATGGTAGTTACCGGTTGAAAGATACCGATGCAGTTAACGGTTGAAAGATACCGATGGAGGATACCGATTGAAAGATACCGATGATAGTTACCGGTTGAAAGATACCGATGGTAGTTACCGGTTGAAAGATACTGACGATATTATATGGTATGCGGTATGATGGGGGAAATCACTAAGCTTTGTGCTTACAGATTTTGGTTGTGGTTTCATGTACCTCTTCGTCAAAGGGGAAGGAGCCGACGGTGTAGCAGCGTATCACACACATGATTTCCGCATGGAGTTTTCTGGGATTGTACTCTGATTTTATTACTTTCGATGATATGGTTTTCAGACATGTTGTTATGGTTTTTATAAATTGATATGACATTGGCAATGTTTGGTAAATTACGTTATGAATTACTTAATTTAAAATGAAATTTTTGGCCTCGATTTTTGGGATGTTACAAACATGTTATAAAAATAACCCTAGAAAAAGCTTGTGTAGGTTTATGAGTAATTAAAAATAAAAACTTACTGGCAACACAATTAGGTCATATGAAAGTTTAGCAGCTTCATCAAGAAGCGTGTCTGCAACCAGTTTTACTTTACGTGAAGCCACAATTTCAAGATTATCACCAACTGATACCACCACAACTTCCGCTTTTGCCCTTCGAAGAACATCAATGATCATAACAACTTCCATCTCCTCTGACCCATCCGTAATTGGTACCAAAATCGAAAACCAAATAGATAATATAATATAAGGATAATTTATTAATATATTATAAGAATAATATATTGATTAATAAATCATATTATTTAATTAGTATTGATTAGAAATTGATTTGGAATTAATTTAGTGATCAAAAGAGATTGATTAAAAGTAAGGGGACTGATATTGCAAATCATTGATAGTTGCAAGTTGGGTTGATGGGCTCCTAAAGGAGTGGACGAAATCTATGGGAAGCCTATAGAGATTTCGTCCAAGGGGCTTTCTAGAAGGATTTCATGGATTGCTTAAGGCTTAAGCAGAGAATTAGGGTTTCCATCTAAAACCCTAGCAGCTCAGCTATATAAGGAACCATTGGCTTACAGTTTTCGGCCTTATGCATTCTTAGAGAACCCTAGCCAAATTCAAGAAGCCTCCATTACCTCTCTCTTGTTCATCCTTTGTTAAGTGGTGTTTGTGACTCCATTAGAGGTGCAACACTTGAGGCACTAAGCTCTTGAAGATCAAGATCAAGCTACTAACAAGAAAAGTATTCCTAATATGATTAGATTTCGTTTTCTTGTATGCTAGATTAGGGTTTTGATTTGGTAAATTAATTTGCATGTATAACTTGAGAAAAAACCTAGATCCAAAGCAAAAAGTGTTGCATCTGCGCCATAGGAATGTTGTAATGCTGAAAACCCATCAATTTCCTTATACCCCTTATAGATCGGCTTCGTGAATGAGGTCTACTAATGGTAAGACTGACTCATCTTATACATATATATAAATTAAACTTTTAATATTATAATAGTATAAGGGTGTACTTTAAAATTTTAAAATGCTAGGGTTTTAGAATTTAATATTTCAAAATTAAACTTTTAATTAAATTTTAAATTCCAAAACTTAAAGGGTGCAATTTGAAACTTTTCAAAATTACTAGATCAAATTTCAAATAATTAAATTAATCAAATAATTTTGTCATTATCTTAAAATTTGACCAAATCCATCTAATTTGATAAGAAATCAAATTACCATTCAGAAAATTCAATTTAAGGTGATAAAACGAACTTTGGTAATTATCCTAATCAAAAACAGATCTGGAAATTGAAAAATCAGCTAATAGACAAGTCAACTCGTCGAGTTCATCATAGAACTCGACGATTCGTCAAGCAGAAAACGATTTATGTTTTGCGTTCAATTTGGAGAATTCACTATTGCATCAAATATAACAGAAAAACATCCTAGGCTCTGATACCATTGATGGTTTTTGAGCATAACAACATCCTATGTGATTATGCAACCCTAATTGCTTTGGATCTAAGTTTTTATCTTGTTATACATGCAAATAGAAATTCCAAAGCAATAACCCTAATACTAGCATACAATTTTCGAAATCTATATGAAAACAAGGGTTAGAATATTACCTTGCTTGCTATCTAGTAATAACAAGAATTTCACGGATGATTTGAAAGCTTTAGTGCCTCAAGTGTTGCACCTCTAATGGAGTCACAAACACCAATAGCAAAGGATGAAGGAGAGAGGAGGCAAAACTCTTCTAAAAATCAGCTAGGGTTCTCCAAGAATGCAAGTGGCCGAAATTCATATGCTAGGGGTCTTTATATAGCTGAGGTTGCTAGGGTTTTTAGGTGGAAACCCTAATTTCCTTGCTTAGGGCTTAAGCAGTCCATGGACCTCCTAACTAGAAGTCTTAGACGAAATTCTATAGGGCCTCCCATAGATTTCGTCCACTCCCTTCTAAAGGAGTCCTTCAGCCCAACTCTGCAACTATCATTGATTTTCAAAACCATTCCCCGTTCTTTTAATCAGTTCCTTTAATCCCAAAATTAATATCAAATTAATTTCCGATTAAATACTAATTAAATAATATGATTTCTAATTAATATATTATTCTTATAATATATTAATAAATCATTTATTAACATTTTTCTCCAAAAGTCATCCTGCCAAGTTGATATGGTGAAGGCAACCCAAAATGACCATGCTACTATCAAATCAATTACATATCAATTATAGTTATGTTCTTATACACCTAGTCCAACAATAACAAGATGTAACACCAACTTTTTCTCCGTGTCATATATATATATATATATATGTATGTATGTATGTATGTATGTATGTATGTATGTATGTATGTATGTATCACAACTCGAAATTTTAAACCTAACAAAGCCTAAACCCTAACCTAACACAAGTGAATCTACATTACACTCCTTGTTGCAATATGTCCTCTTTAGGTAAAAGGACTTATTTATAAGCTTTTAACTAAGCTTGGATTGATAACTAAGTTGTCTAGGGTAGTATAAAGTAATATAAATCAAAGGTTTAAGGGTTAAAACATAAATATTCACCATTTATTGGTGAATTCGGTCATAGAAATCAATAAACAACTTGAATTTGGTCATAGGAATTGAATTTATAGGGAATTCGGTTGTGAGAATCTTATCTAAATGGAGTGTTTGACCATTTGAAATAAACAATGGGTATTCTCGATCTTGGTACAACTTAACACACAAGAATAAGGTCCATTAGGACTGAATTCCCCAAGGTCCAGCCCAATAAGGATCGAAAACACCCGATATATATATATATATATATATATATATATATATATATATATATATATATATATATATATATATATATATATATATATAGCCGATTTCCTAATTCATTTCTCACTTTTGCCACCGAACTCTTATCAAATTTTCTCTCAAAAGTCATAAGAATTTTACCCAGATCTTCATCCCATCTTCAAATCTTCAACCGAATTCATCAAACCCATCTTCAAATCTTCATAACAATCTTCAAATCTTCAAACATCCCCTCAAGAACACAAGAACACACCGAATTCACCCCATTCCCCCACCGAAAACTCTATTTCCCACCAAAATCACCCCTTTAACATTTCCAAACATTCCAAATTAATTTTGTAAGTATTATGTACTTAATTAATTACTTAACACATTATTTAAATTAATTTATTATTAATTTAAATATGACGTCGAATATAATTATTTTAGGATAACGTTATTAGCACGTACACTTACCCGATGATCGTTTCTACAAGCTCGCTAATTCAATCACAAGTGCACATTCGAGGTGAGTTCATACCCCCATATTTTTCCAAGCTTTTCAATGTTTTTAGGGGGAGGGGGGATACAAGTAAAACACAAGAAATCTTGTGTTTAAAAATATAATTTTGTTTATTATATTTCCTTACCGTTAACATGCATTTGAACGCGAAACTTACAAAACACGACAAACATTGTTACTACTAGACTTACGAACAATTTACAAAACACGTTAAGACACAACTACTTTACAAGCACAAATTTTAACACGGAAACAAACTTATAAACTATTTTAAGTATAGTTTATGGAACTAATGTACTACTTTTACAAGGATACATATTAATTTGCAAAAAGGGTTTTCATTGTATTATTCGTGAATTCGTTGATGGAGCAAATTTGTGAGAGACGGTATCGAGTACTTACCTAAGTATCTAGATAAGTCTACCTTATGAACCAGAGTCTCCTGGAGGGAGAGTGTGAGTTTGTGTATAGATCTATACGGGACTGGCAATCTCGTGCCCTGACTATTAGCTACAGTCGTTCTGGGTGACAAATGTCATTAACATTTACGACGTTCGAGTCCATCGGTATGGTTATAAGAACTCACATGGATATAACATGGCCTAGTTCACGTAATAATATACTTAACAAACAATCATCAGGGTTAGTAACTATGTGATTACTTAGTATATACATCAGGGTGATATGAAATTAATATGCGGTGGAATGCGTGACTTCCGCCTCATTTCCTATTCCTTGTTTGGTTGTGGGATTGGGCATAATTACCCAATCGACTGTCTGTTCGATCTAGATTTCAATAACTCGTATGTACTAAGTGATCATGGGAGGGTATTAACATCACTTACAGTTTATAGAACAAACACGTTTTCGGCTAGTTTTATTTAATAATAAAGCTACACCTTAAAATTTTATTTTGTTTGGAACATTTAAGACAACAACTCACTTTTATAGAAAATATAGGATTTTCCAGGACAAACATCAGTATTTTACAAGCAAACGGTTTACTATTCAACTAAAGAACAATCATTGTTAATTCTATAATTCCTTAGTTTATGCATCAAGGTTATGTATGAATAATATCTTATAGGCAGTGGAATGTGTGGTTTCCACCTCATTTCATGTTCCTTGTTTGGTTGTGGGCTTAGGGCAGATCCACACAATTAACTATCCGTTCGATCTTGGTTTATACATAGCCAGTATTGTAACACTCAAATTTTCAAATAAATTTTCACATTTTAAAAACACACTTTCATTCATAGTTGTTATAAAAAATATCATTGTATCACATAATCAATTCATAACATCACATCCCAAGATCAAAATATGTAAAAGCTCCTCAAGTGTGTACTGATCAAGCCGGCGCCTTCCCGTGATCCTCACTGGTACCTGAAACACATATGTAACACTGATTTTTCAAACAAAATTTTTGATTTTTATAAAAGCATAATTCCATCAATATTCATAGAAACAACCCCTTTTAATTGTTCAACAAGATATTACGAAATCCCAAGATCAAAATGTCAAGCTCCAAACGTGTGTGTACGGATCAAGCCGGCGCCTTCCCACGGTCGTCACTAGCACCTGAAACAAATAACATCAACACTGTAAGCACAAATCTTAGTGAGTTTCCCAAAATACTACATATAGCACATATTAGCCACTCGAGGCTATAACTCTGTGGGTCCGTGCACCCAAACTCTGCGAACCCTCAGGTTCTAACTCTGTGAACCTTCCGGTTCTAACTCTGTAAACATGCACAGCATCAAACATATAAAGTAATGCAGTACAACACATAACATACATAGCATACAATTACTCTATCACATAACTCTGGTTACCTACTCAAGGTAAAGTATAGTGAGAAGACTCACCTC